GGGGGTGGGGGTTTGGGCGCTGCCCCTGCCACAGCCACACAACCGCTCTCCCAACGCAGCGGAGTAAAACAAGTTGAAGACAAAATTAAGTCACCAAAATACTGTTTTTCTCCAAATCAGCCATCTGTTCTATTGCTATCACTTGCAGCTTTCTCTGCCAGACTTCAAAGAAATCTGGCACGTCTGTTATTTTACGATAGCCTCCCACATTTCCTTATCATTTTACGCAGAAGAATTCCAGGAAATCCAAACTCTTCTAAGCACTACATGTCGCACATCAGCCTCGCTCTGTGTCTAGAAGACAGATCTGCAGGTAGTTGTCAGAACAGCAACTACAAAAGCACAGCTCTGAGGCCACCAGCACGGGTCACGGCTACCCACAAAACCATGGCCAAATCCCATTATTATTCCCACTCAGCTTAATCCCTGGTGCTGTGTGCCCTCCCTGTCCCGCTGCACGTTGGTGGGATGGGCACCGGGCTGACCCACGCTACGTGGGGACGAGCCACGAAGAGCACAGCACGGCTCCCGCAGCCGTGAGCCCGCACGGTGTCCGTGCCACTGCCAGCAAGGCAGCTCCGATGCCCCACGCACCTTCCTCGGTCTGGGCGTTGGCGATCTTCAGGTCGCAGCTGGTCGCCTTCAGTTTCTCGCGGTCCATGATCTGGCGCTTGAGGTCGCACAGGGAGATGTGGAGGCCACTGAAGGTGATCGTATCATAGCTCAGCTTCGAGAAGAATTTGTAGTGGACACACGACATGGTCGGAGCCAGGTGCTGCCTGCTCCGTGACAGCGTCTACCCTGGATGCCTCTGCTCCCTCTCTCGCACGCAGAGCTCCCAAAGCCCAACCGCTCGCTGTGCCAACTGGGGCACCCGTATCCGCGTACCGCACGGGGGTTTCCTGGCAACGCACACTGCACCCCTGCCCACCCGTGCCTCACGACACCCAGCGCATCACGGCAAAAGGCCCGCGTCATGTTGGTGGGGCAGCTCTGCCCTCTTCGTCCTAACGCCAAGCACCTACTGGCGGGGGCATCAGCCCTGGGCCTGTTGCACCCCAGGGTGCTGGGGTCACTGCTGTGCCCCTGGCCTGTCACCACCTGGTGTCCCGTCCCCCCCAGGCCTCTCACTGGGTCCAAACCTTACTGGTTTACCTAAACAACCAAATCCAGCACACTCTAACCCTTTTACGGGGAAGAATTCACATGAGTTGGGTTTATCTGAAGACTACACTCCCCTATCTGCACGACATCCAGGGCAACTTTGCGTAGGTGCAGAAAGGGCACTCGAGGACTGACCCTCAGCCTGAGCTGCACAGTGTATTCTCAGACCATTAACACCACCCACGCAGGTAGAACCAGTATCACTCCTGCCTCTGCAGCTCCGAGCCAGCAGAGGGTACCACAGGGAGAAACCAAACCCTTATCACAAACGGCAATACAGAATCCATCAGCCCTGCTCCACCTTTTGGAAGCACAGGGCAGAGCCTGCGCGTTGCCGAAGGGCGTTTAAAGGTGGAAATAAGGAACTGCAGAAAGACCAACTCTGGGGATGTCTGGATCAAGAAAGAAGCAGATGGATGATGACGCCACAGAATTGGAGTTGGTCTGCAAAACAGCATCGCGTGTGTGTCTGCGTTAAGGAGCGATGGGTCAAATCATGTTGGACCTGAATGCTTGAAAGGCATAAAAACCACATGTAGAACCGCATTTGGGGTGCCCTAATTGGACCGGGACACCTTCTGCACATGAATAGAGAATTACACTTGTAATTCTAGACTTTGTGTCTAGAGCACCCTCTAGAAAATCAAGCAGTGCTTTTTCCCTCTTCTCCTCCAAGGGCTAATGTGGGGAGAAAATCAGAAATGGCACCTTCTCCTGCAGGGCAGAGGTTTTCTGCCTTGAAACAACACATACATTTGTACAGGAATGGTGTGAACCTCACAGAGTCTCCTGGGTCTTCCACCTGCCCTATAGACACAAAACTAACAGCACTTTAACTCTTTAACAATGGGCAGGTACCCACTGGATGCCCAGTGGAATGAGCTCATCTTCCCGCTCTCTCCAACCCACAAACCCTTTAATACCCCCCTGTCAGCCTGTCGTTTTTCTCACGTTGACATGAGAAAAGAGCATATGGAAACCTGATTCTAAATGGGGAATCCCTTTATCTGTCACTGAGTCCCAAGCACCCAGCAAACCCAGCTGTGATGACCCCATGACAAAGAATTAACGGGAGGACAAACAGAAGGAGGAGGAAAAGAAGGAAGACAAACAGGATGAACTGGTAGATGGCAGGAGGAGGAAGAAGGAGACGAAGAAGGTAAGGAACATGGAAAGAGAATGAAAACAAGGAGGAAAAAGAGAAAGAAAAGAAGAAAGGAACAACATGAAAAGGAACAAGAGGAGGAGAAAGGAGAGGTGGAGGAGAAACACAAGGAATGGTCAGAAGAGGAAGAGATGGCAGAGGACTAGCAGCAGGAGGAAGAATAGGAAAAGAAAGATGAGCAGGAGGAGGAACAGAAGATAGAAGAATAGGATACAGAACAGGAGCAGGAGGACAAACAGGAGAAAGAAGAGAAAACAAGAGGAGGATGAAAAGTAGGATGAGAAGGAGTAGGAGGAGGTAGAAGGGCAGGAGGAGGAGAAGGAGGAAGCAAAAAGAGGAGGAGAATGAAAAGGAATGGGAACATGAGGAGACGAAGACGAAGAGAAGGAAGAGGAGGATGTCTGCCTACGTTTAGCCGGTGTCCGGGCCACACAACAGCAGCTGTTCTGTTACTCATGACCCCTCCCCATCAAGGAGGGGAATCGGGTGAAGGAAGGAAGGCCCACGGGTTGAGATAAGAACCCTTTATTAACCAAAATGAAATAAAATAAAATGGAACATAGTAAGGAGAATATTAATATATTTTCCAGATGAGTGATCTACGGTGCAATTGCTCACCACCCCTCGACCAATAGCCATCCCATTCCCTGCTAGCGACCCCCAAGGAGGAAAATCCCAAAACAGCAATCCCGGAAGAAAGAGAGTAGGCCTTGGGAGCAGAATGACAGGGAGACCCTCCCAGGACAGCAATCATCTAGAAAGAGAGACAGTCCCCAGCAAACTTTCCAACTCACAGTGAGCACGACACTACATGGCATGGATTACCCACTTGCCAAATTCAGTGTCAGTCACCCTGGACACACTCTCCCCAAGTTCTTGGACATCGGGGTCATAAGCAAAACCAACTTGAAAAGTCCTTGAGCACTACAGATACCTACTGCGACGGTGTGATGTGGGGGGGTTCCTGGTGGCAGGAGCTGGCGACCAGATCGGACTCCCACCCCCCCGGGGTTGAGCCAATCGGCACCTCTGCGAATTGCCCTATTTACGTCGGGACAAAGGAACCAGAAAGGTGTGCCTGTGCCCAGGAGGAGAAAGGGGAGGAGGGCACTGTCCCCCTCCCCGGCTCCCAGCTGGCCGGCTGCCCACGCTGGGCCGGTGCCACCCGGAGGGGCTGG